AAAAAAAAAAAAAAACCGTAAGTCAAATACATTGTATGATCAAACTTAAAACAAACAAACAAACAAAAAAAAACCCCACACACAAGACAAAACCAGAATCTACGGTGCGAGACAACAGAAAACTCCAATTGCTCAGTCCCCTTTCGGAAAGAAGAAAGACACTGCGAATGCGGGTGGATCCGAAAAAGCAAAGTAGCCATTTCAGTCCCCTGGTAGCCACTAGGTCACCAGCTACGCACACAAGATGGATGAGCTACCTCAGGGTTTCAAGATCAGGCTCCCACAGCTCTCGAAGGGGTTATTTCCAAAAAGGCACATCCTATTTTCACACAAGTCCCTCCACCCGAGCATTCTAGTTATTCAGAAAACAAAAATTCATTTAAAAGGGGTTTAGTTTTCTAAACTGGGGAGGCAAGAAGGAAGAAAGAAAACGGATGTACAGCTTGAATTAGCAGCAAGGATTTTACAGTTCAAAGTAAAGCGTTGTTCGGGGGACGTCCACCCGGAATCTTACCCACAATGCCCAAGGAAACACACGTAATAAATTATACTTGTCTCCTGCTTTGAAGACAACCACCTAGGATGGTTCTCTCATTCCTCAACTTGAAAATATATTGTTCCCTACAAGTCAACAGAATTCCCAACCAACTGTATTCCAAGGAGATTAAGTCTGTTTTTGAAACAGCGAGTTCTCAGGGATTTCGTTCGTCATCTCGCTTTAACACACAAGTCTGGCAGCACACCAGATTTTAGCTCTATGGTGGGTGACAGTCCCACCTCTGACGCCGTATAGAGACACGTCAGGGCTGGGGGGCGGGGTTCCATGCTAGAACATACTTCTAATGGCAAATGAATGATCAACGATTTACAGGAGGCACTGGATAAACACCCCTGCCTTCTCCAAAGCCGCCGAAGGTGAACTGGAGAAAATGTCACACACACCCCCCTCCCATGGGTCAACGGTTTCATTCTGTCCTGAATGAAGCCTGGGTTTCTCCCAGATACACCGTTGTGGGTCATCACCATAAAGGCAAGTTCCCTAAGCAACCTGAGCTGAACTAGAGACACAGGAGGGTGCTGTCCCAGGGGGTCCGCCTGAAGGCAGACCTGCGTCACCCAAGCGAACCTGTGTCAACTGGCTAGCTGTGGCCAGCTGCCTCGCCCGGGAGTGTGTGCGGGCATGAGGGCGCAGGGGCTGGTCTCTCCAGGCGTGGCAAGAGAGCAGTAAGAGCGAGAGGCCCCACCGTCCTGTGCTCAACCTCTGCCCGCACCGTCCCCTCACCGTCCCACGAGGAAGGGCAGGGGTGGGTTCATTACTTGGTTCTGGAGCGAGCATGGTGGAGACGATGATGGGGGCGCCCGTCCGCCGGGCCACCTTCTGGTAGGGCGAGTGAGGCGTGTGGAGGCTCTGGCCGGCCGGCGGCAGGGTGGACGGTTCCACGGGGACACCGGGCTTCCTCAAGAGCTGGGGGCTGCCATGGGGGGTGGGCAGGGGAGACGCGGCCCCAGTGCGTTCCCTCTTGAGCAGCTCCATGGGCACCGTGTATGCCGTGGAGTAGGCCGTTCTGGGGCCTGGGTGAAGGGGAGGGGCCGGGCCCGGGTAAGTTAAGGCCACCCCGGCCTGTGGGGGGCACGTGGGGCCCGGCCGTGCTGTCAGGGCGCAGGGGGTGGGTGAGCCGTACCCAGAGTTGGAGGGAAAGGGGGGCGCTTGGGCGCCCACCCCGGGGGCAGAGTAGGTGGCCGCCGTCTCCAGGAGGTGCTGGGATGATGGCGCGCTGGAGGGGCGGCGGGCCGGGTCTCCTGCTCGGGGGGATGCCGCCTGCAGGGGACCCACGGGCTGGGGCTGCGAGGCCACGGCGCCCACAGAAGACAAGTCCCCGTGGAGCTCGCTTCGGTGGCTGAAGCTGCTGGAGCGCACCCGGGGGAGGGGGCCCACCCGGCCCTGCCTCCGCAGGTGCATCTCGGTCCTGCAGCCGGCGGCCAGGCGGCTCAGCACGCGGGCCTGGCCCAAGTTGGGCGCGACGCACTTGATGTCCGCGTCCTCCATGGTGGCCAGGACGGCCGGAGAGTCAAAGCCCTGCTGCAGCAGGGCCACCAGGGTGGCCTCCGCCACCCCCTCGGCCCGCAGGAGGGCCAGGAACTCAGGCAGCGTGCTCCTCCTGCCGCCGGGGCCCTGGAAGGATGGCAGGACCGCCTCGCAGTTCTCGTAAACCAGCCCGGAGACGCTTTCCCGGGCAGGCCCGTAGCCTCGGTTCAGGGCTCCCGGAGCCACCCCTGGGCCGCCGTCCGGCGCCGCGGCCGTGCTGGGGTCCACGACCAAGCAGGTGGGGGCCGCCTGCCTGGAGAGGGCGGAATCCACAGGCCTCTCGGCGACGTCGTTGTAGATCTGGCTGGCGGGGTAGGCGGGGGCCTGGGCCGAGAACCTGCCATCGAGCAGCTCCCCCGCACAGTGCGTGGGCGACGGGGCCCGGCTCTGCGTCCGCTGCCCCTGAGCCACCCCTTTACCCGCGGGGTCCCGGTACAGGTGCCCGGCATCCTGCAGGGCGGGGACCCGGCCTTGCACCTGATCCCATGTCAGCCTGCCGCCCGTCACGCCGTAACCAGGCAGCGACCGGCTGAGTCCCGGGTCCCGCAGGTGGCGAGCCTCCTTGGGCACCCGGGCGGCCGCGTCGCCGTAGTAATCCCGCGGCAGCAGGGCGCCCCGGCCAGACATCAGCGCCTGTCTGCTGTCGTAAAAGGCGAAGTCGGCGACGGGGTTCTTGCTGCCAGCCACAGAGTTGAAGAAGGCCTCCCGGTAGAGGAAGGGCTCGCCTGCGCCCTGGGGCTCGTACCACGGTCCCGCCGTGCCGCCGTCCGCCACGGAGCTGCTCCTCGCCGGGGCCTCGGCCACCTCCCAGGGGCCCTCGTACCACCCGGCAGCATCCCAGCTCTGGGATCGGCCGATGGGGACCTGCCGGCTGGGGACCGGCATCGGGAAGGAGGGACGGCGGCGGCCGAGGCGGGGGAGGCGGCCGGTCTCTACGAATCTTCAGTGACATGCATCACAGCCGGCCTGCTGCATCCGAACCCTTCCCGGACGGCAGGAAAGACCAACTGGGGGTTTTCTGTTTCAAAGTACGGCCTAAATTATTAATCCTCTGAAACCTTAGTAGGCAAAACACAACACTCACGGTAACTTCGCCTCACTCCCCAGCTGCAGCACCAGAGTCCAGGGGACGAGGCTGCGCCCAGCTCGCCGGCCCCCCTTCCTCCCGGCGGGCGAGCTCACATGGACCTCGGCTCTCTCAGCGTGGGGATTAGGAGCTAAATAAAACCCCTAAAGCTTTTGTTCCATGTGACATCTCGTTAGACGGAGGAGGAGGGCTGAGGGCTCCAGCCAGGCCTCCCGACCCACGACTGGGAATTATTTTCACACTGAAGCCCTGGCTTATCTCCTTCGTCCTCACCAGGGCACTTTTGGGATGAGCACCCCCACACCCCCCGCCTCGGATCGCCTAAAAGTGACAGAAGGAAAGTAGGAAAAGACTGCTTTAATGTCAATTCAATCTTAATCCAACCTGATGAAATGTTAATCCATTGCACACGGCTAAGAACAAATTAAATGTGAACAGGCAGGCAGGATAAAAAGGGGAAAAAAACAATCTCATGCACAATTCTAGAACACGAGGTACCCTGAGAAATGGGCCAGGCCTGCAGCCCGATGCCCCGCCGATAGTGAAATCTGGCTCTGAGAGGACTCCGGGGTTACCAATCACATGAGTTCTGCTGCTCAAATCCAAATGCATTCTTTGCCTTATTATCATAAAACACCAAACCCTCCATCCTGCCAGGGACAAACAAACAAACACCTGCGGTGTGTGATCTAGAATTTACCATCTTAAGGACTACAACAGAAGGGCACCTGGGTGGCTCAGTCAGTTAAGCCTCTGACTTTGGCTCAGGTTGTGATCTCACGGTTCTTGAGTTTGAGCCCCGCACCGGGCTCTGTGCTGACAGCCTGGATGGAGCCTGCTTCGGATTCTGTGTCTCTCCCTCTCTCTGCCCCTCCCCCACTCGCGCGCGCGCGCGCGCGCGCTCTCTCTCTCTCTCTCTCTCTCAAAAATAAACAAACATTAAGAAAAGAAAATTTAAGACCGCCACAGAGGTCAACGACTAAGCCCTGACATTAGGAAGCAAAACCGGGAAGCTTCTGCAACTTAGGGGTGCCTTCCTTCATATCTGTTCGCAGGGAAAGCGTTCTTCCAGCAGGCTCGGCGAGCTTCGATGTTGGGGAGGCTTCTCCATAGTCCCACGGATTAAGATCCTTACGTGGCTCAGAGGGACTTCAGGCGCAATAACACAAAGGACAACAGTTACTTAATTTCAATAAGGAACGGCCCACCTCTGAGCATTCAACCATTTCTTTAAAGAGAGAGAAGGGTCCCAGAGAAACAACACGGAGCCAAGCTATAGGTTCCCCTCCTCCGACCACGGGAGCCCATGACACCGAACCCACCACAAAAACAAAAGCTCGTGATCATGATGCTGCAAAGGCGGCGTGCCGTTGAGAACCTTTACAGACGAGACACTGTGCGCGTCTGCAGCCGTTAAACCGGACTGCTGTCTTCACCCACGTCTACGTCAGATTCGATTTTTCACTTACGAAAAACACCGGTTGTTAAAAAAAAAAAAAAAAAAAATTTTTTTTTTTGGAATGAGAAATACCGAAAATTTACCGCGAGAGAGGAAAGCAGGTGCAAATCCTACTTTGAACTGGGGGTGCATGGCAACGCGAGACAGTTTAAGGGAGCAGGGCTCTATCCCATCTCCTTGTGTCCCGGTGCACACGGGCATACCAAACGTGGGGACGGGCTGTTTACAACAGCACTGTTCCTCCAGAGCTCTGTGGCCACCCGCGGACTGTTGAGAATCCGTGCCAAGGACGGAGCCCAGGAACCCAGTCTGTTACCACTTCTGACCCCCCAAAACACCAACAAAGCCTCAAGGTATCTGGAAACATATGCTGGCAGGAGGAGACCCAAATCTTCCCCCGCGATCCCCTCCTGGGACGCGTGGGGGAACAAAAAAAAAAAAAATTAACAAGCCACACTGCCGAACGTAGGGTTTCCGCGTATAAAAGCAGCCTGCTGGTGCCAAGGTCGGTCATTCCTCTGCTGGCACGTTGGTGCCCGTGGGCTGAAAGGCCTGGCTGGGCAGGCAACGAGGAAACAGGCCTGGCCACACGCAACACAGTATTTACACGCCTCCCCAGCAGCCCCGGGATGTGTCCACTTAGAAGACACGTCCAAACGGACGGGAGGGCGGTCTGGAGCCCACAACCAAATGGAAACAGCGCTATCTGGTTACAGCAGATCACTTCCCGGCACGGCTGGGCTGGCAAGCTGGGCAGGCCCACCGTGGGCAGGTTCTCACCGCTCAGGGCTGCGGAGGCTGGGGCGTGACACCCGGGACCCTTCTCAGACGGAGCACAGGACACAAGCTGGCACGTCTATCAGGGAGGTCACACCTTAGCCTGACGGAGGACATGGGCCAGACACCCCCGAGAAGCCCCGGCCCACGTCTACCTCGTCACCTTCCCCTTCCGGTCTTGGGTTTTGTGGCCAAAAGGGGGAGGGGTGGGGACTCTGCCCCATCGTCAACACTTCCACCGGCTGGCCGGGCAAGACGGGAAGAGCAGAGGTGACCAGAAACAAGGCCTCTCTGGCGTCATGTTCCTCCTACCGTTTCCTTCTTAGAGGACGTCCACGTTGGTCAATGTCTGCACCAGGCCCCGTTCCAGGTGCTCTGGCCCCAAGCGACTCTAGAAGCAGCTATGATTATGTCACATCCCAGTCACTGGGGATGGAGCCAGGGGCCCTGTCCTGGGGGCGGCCACAGGGCGTGGGACGCAGATCATACACGGCAGAACAAACGCTCCGCTTTCCAGAATTCCCTGCGCTGACCTCGGGTCACTCTGCCCCGCTGCCGCCCGAAACAGGAAACCTCGTTAGCACAGTAATTCTGTCATTTTGCTTACGATTTTCCAGAACCCCCATGTACTGAAGAGGTCACCTACAAAATTAAGTGCTAGAGTATCAGAAAGGAACTTCCTGAACTTGGGCTGTTCCCGCCCCTCAGCGTGGGGAGCACTAGGCTGCTGTTGGAGCCGGGGCCCCCCGCTCTGTTAGTGGAAGGTATAAAACCACCTCAAGCCTCAGGATTAGTCAGTCCATCGTGCCATTTCCTTTCCTTCCCGTCTTGTCACGAAGAAAACGTTAACAGTGTGTGGTGCTGGCCTGGAGGGCTCCGCTCCTGGTACGGACACATCGCTTCAGAGGTGAGCGCGTCACCCCTGGGGCGCACCTGCTCACCCGGCTTACAAATACCTCATTTAAGGTTCAAGTTCTCTGACTGAAGCAGGACCGTCTAGAAGAATGTGCACCCAACAGCTCCTATGAAACCAGTAACAGATTTCTGAGAAGGAGGGCAAAGTGTAATGCCAGAGGCAGGGTTGGGGGGGTCGGTGGGTAGGGGGGAGGCTCCAGGGTGGGCGCCTCCCCCTCCACACGGGAATGAGGAGGCCCGGGTCTCCTTTCCATCCTCGTCCAACTCAGCCCACTTGGAAGCCACCCAAACTCACGCAGCCCCGGCTCCACAAGCCGCCAAATATTAGGACAGATGTTTTCCTGTGTTAGGTGAAAACACCTGTAACTTGACTCACGCTTTCCCAAACGCTCTGGCAGATTTTTCTCAAGTGTGCTGCAGCCTCTTCAAGAGAGCCGCTTTTCTGCAAAGCTCACGTTTACGAAATAAAGTGAGATGGGCCCAATTTCTGAGAGGATAAGGAGTCCCCCAGACTTAACCCTTCAGTCCTGCAAAGAGTTTCGCTACGGAAAATTGCACCAAGGGAAAAGCCATCTTCTGAAAGTTAAGAGACAACCCAAATTCTCTTGCAGACAAAATGAACCCAAGCCAGAGCGGACGTCGTAGAATAACCCGAACGGCAGCCCCGGGGCGGGGGGGGTGTTAGATGCCAACACCCTCCCGCAAAGCCAATTCTTCATTTTCCCTGTGTGACAGATCAGAAGATGCTCAGAGATGATCTAGAAGGTTCCAGAAGGACAGAGAGGAGAATCAAGGAGGGCACAACCAGCCAGCTCGCCCTTGGGCAAATCACCAATAGGCACCTCATGTTCCAACCGCTACCATGACCTAGGAAACTGCTTGAAAAGACAAGAAAAGTATGGCTCTGGGGTCTAAGCCCCACATTCATTCACAAATAAATTACATGTTTCTCAAGCATGAGGCGGAGTCACCCAATCTAACGTTTGGACTCACATGAAGGGCACTGGGTCTGACTGCCTGTCCACGGACAGCTGTGCTGTGTCCCGCCTGGTGGCAATAAATGCTTGCTCCTTCTCAGGAGGCAGCCAGGCCGAGCTGTGGAGCATTTCTGGCCAGCCTTCCATCTCTTGGTCCCCCTCCAGCCCTTGGGCCCCCAAGATCACGGCAGCTCCACAAGCGAAGGTAGAAACCGGAGCCCCCAGAGATGCTCCCCTGTGCCTGCTGGGTCCCAGGACGGAAGCCACGGCAGCGCCCACGCCTCTGCCTTCCACGGGCGGCATCTCCTGGGGGACACGGCAGAGGTCGGTGGGTTACGCACTATTTTCCCGCAGAAACAGGGCCAAAGATGGGCTTAGGACATCCTGCTTCCTACTTTTGAATGTGTACAGGCTGTGTTGGTTGTTTGTTTCTGTCAAGTGTTTTAGGATTTATGTTGAAGAACAGCTTCCTGCCTTTAGAAAAGTTTTCTGTCCCTTCTGTTCCCGCAGGGCCCCTACCAAAATAACTTCCTTGGCTGATCTCAATCGCAGGGGGCGGGGGACCCAAGTGCACTGGTGAAATAGTAACTAAGAGTTTCAAGGCAGCCTGTATGTACATTCTCATGAATGCAAAGAGAAAACGAGAATGGCCAGACAGCATTTCAGTCAT